TATATATATATATATATATATACACTCACACCCGTTCCCTCTCTCCTCGAGAGCTGTAACACTTCAATCAAGAGTTTCGCGCGGCCCTAAATCCCGCGCCTTAAATGACCTGTCTCATCATACTTAACGTTTATGATTACGCGCTGTATCCGTTCGCGTTTCCCAATGATACACCTGTTGGACTTCTAACGTTCCATTCCCTCACCCATTACACGTGTCACATTTCAATGTGACCCCTCATTCTTTAATCTCGGTTATCTATGCCGTTGGGTGATTTCGGCCTTATTTACCTCTTTCGCTCCTACCTCGCTCAGAGCTCCTACCTCGCTCAGAGCTTGGGGGGCTTATGTACCACCTGGCTCAAGGCCGAGCTCAACCGAGTTCATTAACTAACCTTGACCGAGATGGCCACCTAGCCTAGTTCAACTAAAGCAAATATATCCAATGCCGAGGCGCCACATCAGAGGAATGAGATCGGTGACACACCTCGGCATATCAACTACATCGAACACGACTCAACCAAGGAGAACCCTGAGAAAATAACCATACAGCAGTTCACACGGTTACTCAGAAAAACCCACGATAGGTAATGATATAGGCACTAAGCGATATTGGATAGACAACTAACTTGATCGTCGGATTCTTTTTTGCAGGTACATCCGAGATACCCGAGGAAGAAAACCGAGAAGAGGGTAGTCGCCCCAACAATCCATCTCGTACATTCCCAACCAAGCTCAACAGAGGACGTGACTTATTCGGACTAGGAAGACGACCTGATTCGTGTAAGTACAAAAATAAAACACAATTAATCGTAAACAGTTTTGAGTGTCGGTTTCCCCAGCAGTCCCTAGCGTAATCAGCACAGCGTTGTTTTGGGCCTCCACCGTTTGGATTGGGCAAGCAACATGCCATAATTTTGATGCCGTGGACAATTGGGAACTGATGTTTGACCTTTCCTGCCGATTTTCCCAGATCATAGACCATTCTGTCAAAAAATGAGAACTCAGAGAACCCTTCTTCCTTTCTTCCGAGTGTTTATGAGGTGGTCCTAACTCCTACGATGGAAAAATTTAGGTATACTTAATGATCTCAAATAATTTTTATTAGATCCCCTCTTCATTTCTATATCATCCGAAGAAATTTCAAGATGGCTCTGTCAAGAAGTGTCAAATATCGTAATTGTTATTCGAGCCCTTTCGTCTTATAAGTTTGGGTTGGAGTATACGTGTACCATTAAAAAAAAAATTGAGATGATTTTATCGAGAGATGTCAAGCACCATAATTTTCTTAAGCCCTTTCACCTTTTAGATTTAGGGCCGGAGGTAAATGTATCATCTCAACAAAAAAGTTTTGAGATGATTTTGTCGAGAGACTTTGATTGAAATCTTTAGTCAAATATGTTAAAAGCCGAATCTTGAAGGAATATTCAAAGATTAGAGACAGACTAATTT